GTGCTGCCTCTATTGCGCTGTCTACCGACTGTGCCCGATATCATGACCAATTGAATCGGAGGTAACATAAGGGCAACATTAATAAGAAGCCCTTCTTTTAGTTGGCCACTCTAAACAAAAAGAACTGGGCTTACCGCGCAGTTGGAGTTATCCCATCAATTAGAAGCCTTCTAAACCACAGCCTTTAAGGTGATGTAAGAGGTACGAGCGCATTGTATGGGTTACAGTGTTGAGGTCACGATCTCACTAAATTTTCATAGACACCTGCGTAAATACATATGGAACACCTACATACAAATGTATAAGTTGTCGATCGATCATATTTTCTTGAATAATACCGTCGTTTCATCCATCGTTCACCCTTCATTAAACTGTTAGCCCCTAGTTACCGTGTGCATCGCCAGAGGTGAAAACCATTTTAGTTAACAGACAAAAACAGCAAATGAATAGTATATATTTTTTGCAAAAAGCATAGCTGTCTACATGTTGTTCTGGAGGATCATATGCTCCGGTGGGGGCATTTTTCGAAAGCTAGCTTGCGTAAGACATAGTAGGTGAGGCGGATTGAAGGTTTAATTTTAGAAGTGGGAAAATGGCGAGCTATTTAGCAACATTCTTATTGTCTGCTTAAATGCAACTTGTAGCTCAAAATTCAACATGTTTTAGCGCTTGTAAATCATTTTTATCTACCATAATTGAATGGGCTACAATTACTTATTTTTAATGAACTTATATTTGTTTGAAAGGGCAACTCAATGGAAAGTGAGACAGTAACATTTATTGCCGTTACTATAGTTTAACTTCCTCGAACTGTTATTTAGTAACGCTTCTTTAAACCTTAAGCTACAAACTTGCCCGATCTAGTTTGCGACTGCGTACTACGTTCAAATGTACTACATGCAGGCACGGGCCGCTTTCTGGTACACTGCTTACTGGTCTTAAAAATTATACTTACTAGAAGTAGAACTCCTCGACTTTGCATATTACTTCTAGCAGTAATATCCTAGCCCTTGTCGTCCAACCTTAGGAAAGTCTTACATAGTTTTGATGAATAGAGGTAGGAGAGGGGAAACCAGGGGAGGCATTGATGTGCTCAGAGTCTCAAACATCTATTTACTCGGATTAGCATAAATGCAGGTTCCCACTCCTAGTTGAATCCGAGGGAGTAGGAGCCCTGCGTTGACTATAATCAGCATCTTTTCTGATCAAGTATTAGCGTCGGCAATAGTACCTTGACTACTACCATTCATCTACACTGCTAGAAAGCAGTAATATAAATAGTAGTAGCAGTCGCAGCAATACCAGATTATGTCTCCTTGAGTCTTTATAAGCGCCTGCAAAAGGTGAGTTAGGGTTGTTAGTGCAGTAGCACCATCGCAAAAGGCTACTGTCAATTAAGCCTAAGTAAGGCGATGATTATGGTCTGTATTGGAGAAAGCGGCTTACGTCTGAACCAGCTGGGTCATCTCTACTCCCTTTTGATCCCGGTTCAAGCGGGAGGATATGTGGCAAAATTGCAGCACGTCTACTTTTAGTTTATCTGACTACAATAGACATCACTGTTCTTTGAGCATATGTTAGATATTATTGAAACTGAAAAGTAGAATACACTCTCCTCCTAAAGTGTAAGCATGCTGTCATCGTTAACTTACATTTAACTGAGAGGTAGTACTTTATGCTCTGTGGAGTTCCGCCCGTCAGTCGGCAAGTGTATACGCCACTGTCGGACTGTTGTAGGTCACGTATCACCAGTTCCCACATCTGGACCCTAAACCGCACACTCTTTACCTCTGGCAGTCCTCGTGGAGGTGGTCTGTGATCGGCGAACGGGCTGGATGTGAGCGCCGCTTCGTCCTCGCAGGGTTCATATTCATTGTAATCTGAAGCCGCGTCCAGCCGCGTGTCCATGGTGAACAACGTCCCCATGACCGACATGGTTGTGAAATTATGTTCCCAAATAACGGTCTGAAATTGGTTATTAACAGCAAATTATCAATTTTAGAGACTCAGGAAACCAAAGGACAGCGTAATAGCACGATTTAATTGTTGAACCAAATGGGCAATAGAGTATAAAATTGCGAGAAATGCAATAGCTCTTAAAGTTGGTCGACTTTGCACGAACAAACATATAAGATGAGGACACTGGAATTCACTCGTTTTTCCGTCGAGGAACACAAGCAAATGAAGGATGTCAGAATCAACAAATGTGGAGATTGGGGTCAGTGTTTTGTTTACTAGCTATTGAAGACCGACTGGAACAAAAAATGACAACTGTACTACCTGACAATTAATCGGTCTCTCTAAAGTTAATAATATAATGGCAGGTAGGCGTACACGCTATTGATAATGATCACCGCTTCAATTAGGACAGAACTGAAGTGGTCGCTACAGCTAAAACAAAACAAGCACGATAATTTCTCGAAGCTTTGGCATTCCCACACAGACACTATTAACAGGCACGTAGAGAAGAAGCCATGGATCATGCAACATTTCGACATAGGCGAAAGATTGATAGTCTTTCGCTAATCGGTATTGACTCAGGTTGTGATACTGATTATCGTTTAGTCTATTCTGAAGTCATTTCAGTCAGTATGGGATGCGGGCATTTTAAGGAGCTTCGTTCTGACTACCAGCAAAAAGTGTCTATTTTAAGAACTGGCTACTTAAGTAACATGCCTTTTATTCATTGATTTTGACTGCATTTATAAATTCAAATATATTTTATGGTAAAAATGTACGAAAAATTTATATCTTGTGCTTGTTCGATAGAAGATTACGCCCGCTTCAATTTTTATAGTCAAAGAAAGGGTAGCTTTCGGTTATAAAAAAGTTGCTAATGATGAGCTTTTTTACAATTGTGAGGTGTTTATTCATAATACATAGTATCCGCCAATTTATTAATGCTGTCTATACTGCGTAAAATATGTTCGACATCTACTTCAATAG